CCAGTTCTTCTGGTCTCATGGCAAATGAGGCAGTTGTTCGTGGAGGCAATTAGCCACACATTCCATATCCTCCTCCTATTCCTGACTCTCTTTCTTCCTCTCTTGCTCCAGGTGTGGACTGAGTTTTGAAATATGAGAGGGTGTTTGTCAGATGGACCAGACAGGTCAGACCTTCTGTACAAAAGGAGCATTGTGAGCAAAAATAGGAAGGTGTGAGGTGATGCAAGGGCCTGGGATTCAGTTACTTTGATCACATTCTGAGTCAACAGGTGCTTGTAAGGGCTTTACCAAGAGGGGTTACAGTATCAGCCTAAGCGCCCGGATTCAAATCCTGGCCCACTGTTTATTAGCTGTGTGTTTTCAGCCAAGTAACTTCATCTCTCTCTGCCTGATTCCTCATCTTAAAATGGGCAGCTCTACCCTGAAGGGCTGCTTGGAGGCTAAAATGATGTAATGTGTCAGCACTTAGAATAGTGCTTGGTACATTGTCAGCTTTCTCTGAAAGCTAGCTATTACCAGCTGCACTCTCCCAGCCATCCTAGTCGATGGAGGGGGCAGGGGTAACAATGGCTGCATCTTCACAACTGCTCTGTCCGCTACTTGTAGACATGCATACCTTGAATAGCCAGAGACACAATCTATAATGTAGTGGGATACTGTCCTAGGCTGAATAATGCTGACTTTGGGGAAAAGATCTCTGTGGCAGGGATGATAGGGAGGTCTTGGGGCGGAGGTGGGGTGGGTGGGTGGCGTCTTGGGTGAGGTTGCTGGATGAGGGGGTCTGAGCTTCCAGGAGGAGGTGGAAAGCATCCAGTTGCCAGGAATAGCCCCAGCAAAGGGATGTCTGTATTAGTGCTGGGGACAGAGGGGAGGTGGAACCAGAGGGGGACTAGGATGACTCTCCTCACTCCCGTGTCCCATCCCATCCTTTCCATCACCAAGTCCTTGCTTCCCGAATATTCCTGAAATATCTCTACTCTTTTCCATTCACTTTGCTGCTGGCTGCAGCCCCTCGAGCTGGTCTGGAGAGATGGCTGGCTGGCTGGGTATGGGGGTGATGGGGAGCAAAAGTCAGTCAGTGACAGAATGCCTGGGTGGGGAGGTGAGGCCTCACCTACTAGGTCAACACCTGTTCATTTTAGGGTATTGAATAAGAGGGAGAGGGTCTCACTGAAGCAGTTTTTAGGAAATTAGTATCCGGCAGCAACAGATTAGAGTGAAGACAGACCAGAGGCCAAGAGACCGGTTTGGAGGCTGTGGCTCCGGTCAAAGTAAGACTCTGTAGGGAGGTGGCGGCAAGGGTGGGAGGAGGGGCTGGATGCAAGGGAAAGCCTAGGGCAAGAGAGCAGGACTAGGGCGGCGGTGGGGAGAGACAGCCGGGAGGATTCTCATGCTCAGCGCCCGCAGGAAGGAGAGAAGGATGCTGTGGCTAAGGATTCCATACCTGGCCATCTAAGTAGCCTCTTGATTTTCCTCAGAAATCATAAAGGGCACATATTCGTTTGTTTTACATAGAAAACAAAGCAGCTCTTGTTTTTTTGCTTTTTGTTTTTCGTCCTACAAATTTTCTATTTAAAAAAATTTTCTCAACTTACTATTTTTGAAAAAATTTCAAACCTACAAAAGATTTGGAAGTACAGTGGAAAAACGAGAGACAAGTACAATGATTACCCTTCATCCACCTTCATTGATGGTTACCTTTGATCTCATTTGTAATATTTTTCTCTCTTCGCACATATGGGTGCGTTTTTCTGAGCCATTTCCGAGTCTTCTCCCCTGAGGACGTCGCTTATATCTCCCAAGGGCAAGGGTGGCCTCCTCTGTAAACACAGACTAGTCATCACATTCAGAATCTGTAGTGTTGATACAATACTGCCCATATGTCCGCTGATTGTCACCGTAGTGAATTTTAGAGGTTTTTATTGTATTTTTTTTATTGTATTTTTTTATTATCTAGAATACAGTCAGAGACTTGTATTTAGTCATTTATTAGGTCTCTCTAGTCTCCTTTTTGTGTTTCTAATCTAGGACACTTCTCCCAAGCCTTTTATGTTTTGGTGTCTCATGGCACTGACGTTTTTTGGGAAGTCCAGGTCGCTTATTTTGCAGAATCTCTTTGAGGATTTTTATTTTATTTTTTATTGTACTTTAGATGAAGATTTACAGAACAAGTAGTTTCTCATTAAATAGTTAGTACACATCTTATTTTATGACATTGGTTAACAACCCCACGACTTGTCAACACTCTCCCTTCTCGACCTTGGGTTCCCAATTACCAGCTTTCCCATCTCCTCCTGCCTTCAAGTCCTTGTCCCTGGACTGTTGTGCCCCATTAGTCTCGTTTTGTTTTATGGGGCTGTCTAATCTTTGGCTGAAGGGTGAACCCTGGGAGTGACTCCATTACTGAGCTGAAAGAGTGTCTGGGGGCCATACTCTCAGGGTTTCTCCAGTCTCTGTCAGGCAGTAAGTCTGCTCTTTTTTTGTGAGTTAGAATTTTGTTCTACATTTTTCTCCAGCTCTGTCCGGGACCCTCTGTTGTGATCCCTGTCAGAGCAGTCAGTGGTGGTAGCCAGGTACCATCTAGTTGTGCTGGACTCAGTCTGGTGGAGGCCGTGGTAGTTGTGGTGCGTTAGTCCTTTGGACTAATCTTTCCCTTGTATCTTGTTTTCTGCATTCTCCCTTGTCTGTGAGGATTTTTCTGACTGTTTCCTCGTGATTAGATCCAGGTTAAACACTGTCAGAAAGCACCACATGGATGACGTGTCCTTCTTGGTCCATCACATCAGGAGCTACGTGCTGTCCCACGAGTGGGGATGGTCGTTCAGTTCAGGTGGTGTGCATCCGGCTTCTCCATTACGAGGGCATTTTCCCCCTTTGTTATGAACCTTGGGTGATACTTTGAAACACCGAATATCCTGTTCCCACGTCACCCAGTGGTTTTAGCATCTGTTGATGAATTTTGCATGTTTTGATTATTGTTATAGAAGGAGCAAAATGATAATTTCTTACTATATCCTTTCTTCTATATTTAATAGCTATTTTTTTTCTTTAAAGGATACTTCTCCTTCTTCCTTTATAAATTATTTTGAAACTATTTTTTAGACTCAGATGGACTCATGATTCCCTTTTTAAATCAGTATGTATAGTAATTTGATCCTGTTATTTATTTTGATGTTCAAATTATTCTGAATTTGACCAGTGAAAGCCTTTTGGTTCCTTTTGACATACAGTGAGTCCCTGGGTTATGAACATCCAATTTACAGACAGTTCGTACTTGCTCTTTAATGTTGTGTAAAATTTACCCTCAATTTGAAATGTTTGGACCAACCCCTACTTGCAACAAATCCTTTATCACAATCACCTTCACTTGCTTCACGTGCAGCTTTAACCAGAAACCCGTTGCTGTCAAGTCAATTCCGACTCATAGTGACCCTATAGGAAAGAGTAGAACTGCCCCATAGGGTTTCCAAGGAGTGGCTGGTAGATTTGAACTGCTGACCTTTTGGTTGGCAGCCGTAGCTCTTAACCACTGCGCCGCCAGGGCTCCATTCTTACACTGAAGTAAGGCTAAATAAGAACTATATGTACTTGCTCCAACTTACCGACAAATTCGACCTAAAGACACACTCAGGAACAGATCTTGTTCATAACCTGGGGACTGCGTGCTTTCCCGTCAGTTTTTGAACACTCATTCTCGAGCAAAACAAAAGATTCCAGGATCCATTTCTGCTTTCCCTGCCCCAGCCCTGGAGTCAGCCGTTCCTCCGGAGAGTCCAGCGCCTGTTAGTGGAGAAGGAGACTCGGAAACCGACACCTGGGCTACTGGGGATGCTGCTGTCTTGTGGCCTTTTCTTTTTTAAATCATGAGGGTTTTTTTGTGTTTGTTTTCTTCATCCCTCAACAAATTTAATTGCTTCTGCTCTTCTTTTTTTCTCTGCATTTTTTTCTTTTTCTTTTCGCATGCACAGCTCAGTGACATTAATCACATTCACCATGTTGTACAACCATCACCACTGTTTCCAGATTTTTCCATCACCTTTAACAGAAGCTCAGTGTCCCCTAAGCAGTGAGTCGCTCTTTCTCCCACCCTCCCAACCCTGGTAACCACTAATAAACTTTGATAATTTTTTCTGATAACTTTTAATTCCAACCCAGGGTTCTTCCTCACCTCCTCCTACTCCAGATTTGTATCTCCCTTTTGTGATTAATTACTAACTGAAACGTTGGCAGTTTGAACCCGCCCAGCGGTGCCACAGAAGAAAGGCCTGGCAATATGCTTTAGTTAAGATTACAGCCAAGAAAACCCTATGGAGCAGTTCTACTCTTAGCTACATGGGGTCACCATGAGTTGAAATGGACAGGACAGCAATGTGTTTGGTTTGGTTTGGCTTTTTTCTGTACTGAAACCGGCTCCCGACATCAGTGTATTTATTCATTTGCTCAGTCCTCAGTATATGTTTCCAGAACTGCCAAACCTAGTCAGTCCACTGCCAACAACAAACCCAGCAGATAAAGTTCAATATGTTCTTCCAGTTTGTTTTGCTCTTAGAATATAGACTGTTAGGTTAAAAAATTATTTGAATTAATTTGTTTGTTATTTCTTCTGAGAAATTAGATTCATAAGCTATCTAAATATTTGTAATCAGATTAAAAATGCACTAAAAGAGTTAAAAAAAAAAAAGGTGAAGCGAGGTTAAGTGCTGTAACAGGAAGCATGCAGGAAAGTTCACAGTTTAGGGTTAAGGCCAAGAGTCCTCGGCTGTTGTCCTCTCCCGGGAAGTTGCTTTGTCTCTGGCAGGAAGCCCCCTTTCGTCTTTCCAGGAAGGTGATGGGGTCCCCCCGTGCCCCACGTGTTCCTGCCCACACAGACCCATAGTGAACCTGCTCTCTGGGTACCAGTGCCCTGAGCTGAAGAGCAGCTGGGTAAACGCACGTCCCCAGCCCCACCTACACTGGGCTGCCTGTTCCAAACGCGCTCTCCCTCTGCTGGCCCTTCCCAGGTACTCAGACCCTGCCATGTGGACCGCCTACCTGGGCTTGCATGACCAGAGCAAGCGCAGTGACCCTGGGGTGCAGGAGCACAAGCTGAAGCGCATTATCCGCCACCCCAGCTTCAATGACTTCACCTATGACTATGACCTGGCCCTGCTGGAGCTGGAGCAGCCAGCCGAGTACAGCAGTGTGGTGCGGCCCATCTGCCTGCCCGACGCTACCCACGTCTTCCCTGCGGGCAAGGCCATCTGGGTCACGGGCTGGGGGCACACCCAGGAGGGAGGTGAGTGCCGGGCCAGACCCAGGGACCCCTCCTCCAGGCCCGGTTGCTGCTGCGTTTCCAGCCTCTTGGGTGTCCAGTCCCCTGTCTGCAGAGCCCCCCAGGCTCTGGGCGGTTTGTCTTTGTCGCCCCATTTCCCTGGCCCTGGCCGGATGAGGTCATCCCAGAGCCCAGCGGAAGCTTCTAGGGAAAAGACCGTGAGGTTGGAGGCAGTGCTCTAGATTCAAGGCCTGTCTTTGTGCTTAACTGAGTGACACAGGGCAAGTTGCTTAAAACTGAGCCCGTTTTGTTAGCCTGTAAAATAAGGATGATGGCACCTTCCCAAAGAGTGCTGATCAATGTTAAGAAAACGAACCTGAAGACCTAAGAGCTGTGCCGGCTTTTCCAGCCTGGGGCTGTGAAACCCCACCTCCACGGCCCGACCCTGCTCCCTCTCTGAAGGGAGGCAGGCCGGTAGTTGATAAATGCTAGACTGTATTTAAATTTTCAGTTATAAAGTTAATATAGCACTTGGCTGAAAATTTAAGAATGTAGAGAGGAAAAAGGAAAATAACCTGATTTATGAGCCCTGGTAGTGCAGTGGTTAAGCAATTTGCTGCTAACCAAAAGGTTGGTGGTTTGAACCCACCAGCTGCTTAGCAGGAGAAAGATGTGGCAGTCTGCTTCCATAAAGATTACAGCCTTGGAAACCCAATGGGGCAGTTCTACTCTGATCTATAGGGTTGCTATGAGTTGGAATCAACTGGAGGGCAGTGGGTTTGGTTTTTTTGGTTTAGATGACCCTACCGCCCAACCAGAATCACTGTGGCATTCTGTGATCTTTTTTCCAGCCTTTCTGTTCCTAATTTTTTCACACCATAGTGTATGTTGGCACCCATGTCACTTGGCAGATCGCCACCATGCTTGCTGCTTGGTTACTACACATGGCCAAGTTTCAGCCCATCGTGGGGATGTGTCCTCATTCTCGGCCCGAGGCATTTGGCGAGCATCTTGAAGAAAGCTTTCTCCCACATAGCATTGCTTCCTCGGGGTGGGATTCCCTGGTCACCCCGCCCCTACCTCCTCCCCAGGTTCTTCCGCGCTGATCCTGCAAAAGGGTGAGATCCGCGTCATCAATCAGACCACCTGCGAGAGCCTGTTGCCGCAGCAGCTCAGTGCCCGCATGATGTGTGTGGGCTACCTCAGTGGGGGCGTGGATTCCTGCCAGGTGGGCGGGGCCCAACCGGGAAGGAATAGGCAGACATGGGGTCCCATTCAGAGGAAGGACGACCGGTGGGCGGGCCCCACTGG